GCTAAATAATGTCCGATTGTGAAATTTTATACCATTTTAGACTCGTAAGGATCAGAACTATCGACTGGCATCAAAACAATGAACATCTAAATTTTGACCCAAATCGACCAAAATAGCAAGGGGTTACATCACGTTTTTATCAAAATCGGGGTCGGTTCGAAAATCAAAACTTTTTTGATGATTTTTTTGAATATCTCGGGTAAATAACGTCTGATTTCCAAATATTACACCTTTTTGAATTCGTACAGATCCCTACTATCAATTGACATTCAAACAAATTAAAAATCGGTGGGTTGAAAAAAGTTGTAGACCCAAAAACGATTCGTTTGTAAAGTCACCCTTTCTTGATGATTTTTTTGAATATCTGGGCCAAATAATGTCCGATTGTGAAATTGTATACCATTTTGGACTCGTAAGGATCAGTGCTATTGACTGTCATCAAAACAATGAACATCAAAATTTTGACCCAAATCGACCAAAATGGCAAGGGGTCACATCACGTTTTTTATCAAAATCGGGGTCGGTTCGAAAATCAAAACTTTTTTGATGATTTTTTTTGAATATCTCGGGTAAATAACGTCTGATTTTTAAATATAATACCTTTTTGAATTTGTACGGACCCCTACTATAAATTGGCATTCAAACAAATTAAAAATCGGTAGATTAAAAAAAGTAGTGGACCCAAAAACGATTCGTTTGTAAGGTCACCATTTCCTGATGGTTTATTTGAATATCTGGGCCAAATAATGTCCGATTGTGAAATTTTATACCATTTTGGACTCGTAAGGATCAGAACTATCTACTGGCATCAAAACAATGAACATCTAAATTTTGACCCAAATCGACCAAAATGGCAAGGGGTTACATCACGTTTTTTATCAAAATCGGGGTCGGTTCGAAAATCAAAACTTTTTTGTTGATTTTTTTTGAATATCTCGGGTAAATAACGTCTGATTCTCAAATATTATACCTTTTTGAATTTGTACGGACCCCTACTATCAATTGGCATGCAAATAAATTAAAAATCGGTGGGTTGATAAAAGTTGTAGACCTAAAAACGATTCGTTTGTAAAGTCACCCTTTCTTGATGATTTTTTGGAATATCTGGGCTAAATAATGTCCGATTGTGAAATTTTATACCATTTTGGACTCGTAAGAATCAGAACTATCGACTGGCATCAAAACAATGAACATCTAAATTTTTACCCAAATCGACCAAAATAGCAAGGGGTTACATCACGTTTTTTATCAAAATCGGGGTCGGTTCGAAAATCAAAACTTTTTTGATGATTTTTTTTTAATATCTCGGGTAATTAACGTCTGATTTTGAAATATTATACCTTTTTGAATTTGTACGGATCCCTACTATCAATTGGCGTTCAAACAAATTGCAAATCGGTGGGTTGAAAAAAGTTGTGGACCCAAAAACGATTCGTTTGTGAAGTCACCCCTTCTTGATGATTTTTTTGAATATCTGGGCCAAATAATGTCCGATTGTGGAATTTTATCCCATTTTGGACTCGTAAGGATCAGTACTATTGACTGTCATCAAAACAATGAACATCTAAATTTTGACCCAAATCGACCAAAATAGCAAGGGGTTACATCACGTTTTTTATCAAAACCGGGGTCGGTTCGAAAATCAAAACTTTTTTGATGAATTTTTTTGAATATCTCGGGTAAATAACGTCTGATTCTCAAATATTATACCTTTTTGAATTTGTACGGACCCCTACTATCAATTGGCATGCAAATAAATTAAAAATCGGTGGGTTGATAAAAGTTGTAGACCTAAAAACGATTCGTTTGTAAAGTCACCCTTTCTTGATGATTTTTTGGAATATCTGGGCTAAATAATGCCCGATTGTGAAATTTTATACCATTTTGGACTCGTAAGAATCAGAACTATCGACTGGCATCAAAACAATGAACATCTAAATTTTTACCCAAATCGACCAAAATAGCAAGGGGTTACATCACGTTTTTTATCAAAATCGGGGTCGGTTCGAAAATCAAAACTTTTTTGATGATTTTTTTTTAATATCTCGGGTAAATAACGTCTGATTTTGAAATATTATACCTTTTTGAATTTGTACGGATCCCTACTATCAATTGGCGTTCAAACAAATTGCAAATCGGTGGGTTGAAAAAAGTTGTGGACCCAAAAACGATTCGTTTGTGAAGTCACCCCTTCTTGATGATTTTTTTGAATATCTGGGCCAAATAATGTCCGATTGTGGAATTTTATCCCATTTTGGACTCGTAAGGATCAGTACTATTGACTGTCATCAAAACAATGAACATCTAAATTTTGACCCAAATCGACCAAAATAGCAAGGGGTTACATCACGTTTTTTATCAAAACCGGGGTCGGTTCGAAAATCAAAACTTTTTTGATGATTTTTTTGAATATCTCGGGTAAATAACGTCTGATTTCCAAATATTACACCTTTTTGAATTCGTACAGATCCCTACTATCAATTGACATTCAAACAAATTAAAAATCGGTGGGTTGATAAAAGTTGTAGACCCAAAAACGATTCGTTTGTAAAGTCACCCTTTCTTGATGATTTTTTTGAATATCTGGGCTAAATAATGTCCGATTGTGAAATTTTATACCATTTTAGACTCGTAAGGATCAGAACTATCGACTGGCATCAAAACAATGAACATCTAAATTTTGACCCAAATCGACCAAAATAGCAAGGGGTTACATCACGTTTTTATCAAAATCGGGGTCGGTTCGAAAATCAAAACTTTTTTGATGATTTTTTTGAATATCTCGGGTAAATAACGTCTGATTTCCAAATATTACACCTTTTTGAATTCGTACAGATCCCTACTATCAATTGACATTCAAACAAATTAAAAATCGGTGGGTTGAAAAAAGTTGTAGACCCAAAAACGATTCGTTTGTAAAGTCACCCTTTCTTGATGATTTTTTTGAATATCTGGGCCAAATAATGTCCGATTGTGAAATTGTATACCATTTTGGACTCGTAAGGATCAGTGCTATTGACTGTCATCAAAACAATGAACATCAAAATTTTGACCCAAATCGACCAAAATGGCAAGGGGTCACATCACGTTTTTTATCAAAATCGGGGTCGGTTCGAAAATCAAAACTTTTTTGATGATTTTTTTTGAATATCTCGGGTAAATAACGTCTGATTTTTAAATATAATACCTTTTTGAATTTGTACGGACCCCTACTATAAATTGGCATTCAAACAAATTAAAAATCGGTAGATTAAAAAAAGTAGTGGACCCAAAAACGATTCGTTTGTAAGGTCACCATTTCCTGATGGTTTATTTGAATATCTGGGCCAAATAATGTCCGATTGTGAAATTTTATACCATTTTGGACTCGTAAGGATCAGAACTATCTACTGGCATCAAAACAATGAACATCTAAATTTTGACCCAAATCGACCAAAATGGCAAGGGGTTACATCACGTTTTTTATCAAAATCGGGGTCGGTTCGAAAATCAAAACTTTTTTGATGATTTTTTTTTAATATCTCGGGTAAATAACGTCTGATTTTGAAATATTATACCTTTTTGAATTTGTACGGATCCCTACTATCAATTGGCGTTCAAACAAATTGCAAATCGGTGGGTTGAAAAAAGTTGTGGACCCAAAAACGATTCGTTTGTGAAGTCACCCCTTCTTGATGATTTTTTTGAATATCTGGGCCAAATAATGTCCGATTGTGGAATTTTATCCCATTTTGGACTCGTAAGGATCAGTACTATTGACTGTCATCAAAACAATGAACATCTAAATTTTGACCCAAATCGACCAAAATAGCAAGGGGTTACATCACGTTTTTTATCAAAATCGGGGTCGGTTCGAAAATCAAAACTTTTTTGTTGATTTTTTTTGAATATCTCGGGTAAATAACGTCTGATTCTCAAATATTATACCTTTTTGAATTTGTACGGACCCCTACTATCAATTGGCATGCAAATAAATTAAAAATCGGTGGGTTGATAAAAGTTGTAGACCTAAAAACGATTCGTTTGTAAAGTCACCCTTTCTTGATGATTTTTTGGAATATCTGGGCTAAATAATGTCCGATTGTGAAATTTTATACCATTTTGGACTCGTAAGAATCAGAACTATCGACTGGCATCAAAACAATGAACATCTAAATTTTTACCCAAATCGACCAAAATAGCAAGGGGTTACATCACGTTTTTTATCAAAATCGGGGTCGGTTCGAAAATCAAAACTTTTTTGATGATTTTTTTTTAATATCTCGGGTAATTAACGTCTGATTTTGAAATATTATACCTTTTTGAATTTGTACGGATCCCTACTATCAATTGGCGTTCAAACAAATTGCAAATCGGTGGGTTGAAAAAAGTTGTGGACCCAAAAACGATTCGTTTGTGAAGTCACCCCTTCTTGATGATTTTTTTGAATATCTGGGCCAAATAATGTCCGATTGTGGAATTTTATCCCATTTTGGACTCGTAAGGATCAGTACTATTGACTGTCATCAAAACAATGAACATCTAAATTTTGACCCAAATCGACCAAAATAGCAAGGGGTTACATCACGTTTTTTATCAAAACCGGGGTCGGTTCGAAAATCAAAACTTTTTTGATGAATTTTTTTGAATATCTCGGGTAAATAACGTCTTACTTTTAAATATAATACCTTTTTGAATTTGTACGGACCCCTACTATAAATTGGCATTTAAACAAATTAAAAATCGGTAGATTAAAAAAAGTAGTGGACCCAAAAACGATTCGTTTGTAAAGTTACCATTTCTTGATGATTTATTTGAATATCTGGGCTAAATAATGTTCGATTATGGAATTTTATACCATTTTGGACTCGTAAGGATCAGTACTATTAACTGTCATCAAAAAAAGAAAATCTAAATTTTGACGCAAATCGACCAAAATGGCAAGGGGTAAATTACGTCTGATTTTTCAAATATTTCCCTTTTTGAATTTGTACGGAACCCTACTATCAATTGGCATTTTGAATTTGTACGGATTACTTACCAACTATCATTAAAATGCAAATTCAATGGGTTAATAAGTTGACCAAAAAGTAGTCAACTTTTTTTATGAGTTTTTCGAATATCTCGGCAAAGTAATATGCATGTGTTACATGTATTGCCACACACACTTTAATTGGTATAACATCTTTGCAAGCTGAATCTAAAAAGCTGGTTTACCTGAAACTTTAGTGTGGGTTTTATTTGGCTGGAAGGCTGGACAGTCATAAATCAATAAAGATAATTTCCAGAAAAATTGGTTGCAATGCTACTTAGCTATCAAGTTTTAGTTTGACTACGATATCAATCAGTCAATTATCGCTATGCGTGTGATTTGGGTGCTTGCAACGCTTGTGGTTCTAGCTAGCGCTGGGTCACTCAAGGACCCGCCCACGACGCGTTACGATAACTACAGTGTCTATCAGTTAAGCATAAAGAATAAAATACAATTATCGCTGATAAATAAACTGGGTGAGCTTAGCCAAAAGGTATGTAAGGAATTGTAAATTGAAAGTCTGAAGCTTTTGTGATTGCTGTATGCCATTGCTGTTTAGTATAATATCTGGAAGGAATACGATGACCACACCAAGCAAATGCACATTATGGTCAGTCCATCAGAGTCAACGCGCTTTCAGCTACTCCTTAAATTTGTTGGTATCAGCAGCCAGCTCTTAATAGACAATGTTCAAAAGTAAGTAAGCCGAAGGATATTAAAAAAGGGTTTTTCATATGCTTCGAATTCCTTTCCTAGAGCCCTGTTATATAATTGCCTTTTGTTCCACGATAAGACTTGGGCAAATCGTGTATTAATCTTGCGTACTATAAAGTTAATTGCTTGATATTTAGGCTTATCGACGACGAGCAAATATCCAACAGAGATAGCGGCACCTTTGGCTGGAAACGTTACCACGAACTGTCCGAGATCGAGGCATGGTTGGATGAAATTTTGGCAACCTATCCCAGCGTGACTGAAAGTTTCTCTATTGGCCAGTCCTACGAGGGACGAAACATTCGTGGCATCAAGATTTCCCATGGCTCTAATAAGCCCGGCATATTTATTGAGTCTAACATACACGCACGTGAGTGGATCACCTCGGCCAGTGCCACGTGGTTCATCAACGAGTTGCTTACCTCACAGACAACAGAGGTGCGCAACTTAGCGGAGAACTACGATTGGTATATTGTGCCCGTCTTCAATGTAGATGGCTTTGAATACTCCCACCGCCAGGTAATCTTAATTTAATTTATTTGATAACTGGTCAGCTAACCGAACTATGTAACATAGAATCGGCTGTGGCGCAAGACGCGTCAACCCCACGCCACCTCGTCCTGCATCGGAGTCGATGGAAATCGTAATTTCAATTCACACTGGATGGAAAATAATGGCGCCTCGTCGGATCCTTGCAGCGAGACATTTGCCGGCGAATCACCTTGGTCGGAGCCAGAGTCTAAGGCGCTGTCCGAGTATCTAACAAGCATCAAGGATAAATTCAGCGTGTACCTATCTTTTCACTCCTACGGCCAATGGTTGCTGTCACCCTATGGCCACTCAAAAGTTGAGTTCCCAGAAAACTACGACGATTTGCAAGAAATAGGCGCCGCCTTTGCCGGTGCCATCAAAAATTTGGTCTATGGCACTGACTACGTTTACGGCTCCACAGCCTCCGTGTTATGTAGGTCGACCAATTCCCAGATTTTTCAAGCCACTAAAAACGTTTTATTTTTGTAGATGTCGCTTCAGGTTCGTCTGTCGATTGGGTGTTCAATGAGCTGGACAAAAAGGTAGGCTTTACCATTGAGTTTCGAGACAAGGGAAATTTTGGCTTCGTACTGCCGCCCGCTCAGATTCTGCCCAACTGCGATGAGCTGATGGCCGGCATGGTTGCCCTGATTGACAAGACCAACCAGCTAGGTTACATATAATCCAAACTTTATTTCTATTGATTACTCGTCATTAAAATGACTCATGTAGGACGCCAGCAGATCATCAATCTTGTAGCCTTGGGTGGTGCTGCAGAGTAGCTTCGAGGCGCCAATCATGTTGCCGAATCGTATGTGAAAGTGGTTCTTGCCGGAGCTCCACATGCCCAGTTCCGTGTAGCTGTAGCTTCTCAGAAGATTTTTTGTATGCACATCGAGTAGATGGAAGCCTGTGCCGTTGATCGCTATCAAAAGGTTCTCAGGCAGGGACTTGTCGTTCAGCTGCTTGACAACGAAGAAAGTGGAGCCAAAGCACGTCTGTTTGGCCAGCTCCTGTAGAAACATCAGCTTCGCTTGATCTTCGTCAGCGCCGGCCTCTTGATGCATAATTGGCGAGAGTTGATGATGCCACTCTGCCAACGTCTGCAACCGTAGCAAATCCTCAGGTACCAAGCGGGGCAGCAGCTCCTGCAGCGGCAAACCTTCTTCATTATCCTGATCCGCCCTGCGAATTAGTTTGGCCAACTGCAAGGCCACCTCAAGATCAATGGCATAGTAGCCCTTAAGGTACTTGTGCAACTCTTGTGGATAACTAAAGATCATATCCGCATTGAAATCCGTGCCTGGCTGGCAGTTAAGCCAAAGCTTTCGCATAAAATGTAGCTGATAGTGGCCGTCACTGCTGGCGCGGATTGTCTTCTGCTGGCGGGGATGGTGCAAAAGTTCTGTGATGAAATCGAACACAAACTCCGCCTCGGGAATGGCGTAAATCTTCTCGCCCATTTTCAAAAAAATACTGAAGCCCAGCTGCGACTTAAGCTCCAAACGATGTGTTATCTCCCGGATGAGATCCGCTCCCCGCGTATGAGACTCTATCTCAAAGGCCTCCACGGTATCGTCCGGGAAGTAGATCTTATGATAGATATGCATGCAACGTTGCTGGATTCCCTCCACCTCAATCAGGTGCGGGGCGTGCTTTCGCTGGCCGTACTGCACGGAACGCTTCAAGCGCCTCAGGCATGCATCCGCCAGTGCATCGTGCCGCAGGTTAAGGAACAGAATAAGTTCACGCATGATGAGCACACTGGGCGCCATGATGCCCGTGGCCAGATAGAGCAAGTCCCAGCCACGCTCCTCGCTCACCTCCAGCGGGTTGTTGCTTAGCTGCTTCATAAGCTGACAGAAGACCTCATCACAGAGCAACGGTTCTTGCAGAGCCGGCTGGAAGATTAAATCCGTATTCACAGGCAGATTACCGCGTGCTATGTCGCCCATGTACTGAAGGAACACAAATTGTTACGAGGATCAGACTAGCATATAAGCCTTGCCCACCTTCAGTATGTGATGATGAATGACTTGTGCCTGTTGGTAGAGCTGCGGCTTGGAGTGCAGAGACCTAAGGAGCGGTGCCTTCAGTGGTTCCGGTGAATACCTCCATAAAGGGGACTGCTCCGATCTGTCAAAAGGTGAAAGTTGAAGATAATTCAAATTATATAAGTCTTTAAAAGAATGTACTCCAATCGCTCTCGGAACTGCATCTCAGCAAACTGTGCTAAGCTATGATGTCGACGAAGCGGAGCTGCCGTCGGACCCTTTGCCTCGGATTGTTCTACGGAATCACGACGGGCTTGCTCTTTGAATATCTGTTGTAACTGTGCGCTGGGCTTGGAGAGTGTGGCCAGGATGCGCACATTGGCGGCGACAAATTGGCCCCATTGTCCATTGGCACAGCCACGCCAGCTGCAGCGGGGATCCTTGGTCATCAGCTGGGCACCCGTGACACCCGCCTCGAACTGCACCAGATCCCCAGCTCTCAGCGCCAGCAGGTCATCCTCTTCAGACTGTGACTGGGTGCTGTCTATGGCTACGCCGTAGCTGGAGCGTTGCTGTAGGTTCAGTAGCATGAAGTCGACGAGCTCAACTGCATCCAGAGCCTCGCTGGATTGCAGCACAAAGTTCTCATGTTGGGCGGTAAGCACGTGCAACTGATCGTTGGCTCGGTAATGCACCTTGAGCAGTTCCGCATAGCTGCAGGATGCGAGCACCTGCTCTGTTTCGTCAATGAGTGAGAGTCCTGTGGCATTAACAGCCAGCACGAGATCATTGCTCTGCAATTTGGGACCGGACACGCGGAGCACCTCGTAGAGACGAGAATGGCGCATGGGCCAAGACAGATGGGCAAACAAGCAAATGTCTTCCTTGGCACGCTGCTGCGACTTCTCGTCCTGGCCCTTCTTCACATAGGCGCTGCTCTCGTACGTTGCGGCAATTAATCGACTCCAGTTGTGTACGGCCCGTTCACCCGGTGCCAGCAGATCCTGTGGCACAAAGGCCGTCAGCTGGCTTTCAGAGAGTTTAGCCACGGGTTGTGCTCCATGCTCAATGTAGGTGGTCAGGGCACAGACCATCGCAATGTCCTTCTCTGAGCGACAGCGATATTCGCCGCATTTTAAGCCGCTCAGAATCTGCTTGTAGATGAGATGCGTGGCCTGGGGATCCAACGCAGGATCGTACCAGGCACCAAAAAGTTCCTTGCGCAGGTACAGCTTCCAAGGTGCATCCGCTTGCCGTTGCTCGCAGCTGGCAATGGCGTCTAGCACGTGCTCGCGTCCAGCGCCCAGTGGCATAAGCCTCTCGTGCAACGATAAAACCAGGCCGAAGCCAAAGCTGTCGCATAGACCCAGCCCATCGCACAGCTGCTGCACTACTTCCCTGGCCGTGCTGGCCGCATCCACCTGCAATTTACGAGCCTCGCCGTCCATCAAATAAATCGCCAGCTTTAAAGGCTGGCGACTGCGAATCGCCTGCAGCTCCAAGAGCGAGGGAGGCTGGGAACGCGCCCCGTTGACCAACGTGCGCTCCAGATGCTGCAGACAAGGCGCCGCCTGCAGCTTGGCGGTGCCTACCTTCATGTAGCTGCGCAGATAGGGCTCGAAATTGGATGTGGGCGGAAAGCAGCTCAAGCAGAGCGAGAGCAGCAACCAGCCGCGGGAGAGTGAGTTGCGACTGGGATTCAGGTACAGCTGCTTGCAGATCTGAACCAGGATCTCGTCCCTGTAAGGATATTAAACAAGGTGCGTAAACATCCATAAGTATGCATGTAGAAATGGGCCTAAGGTTGGGATTAACAGATAACTCTTTTTAAATTGAAATGAAAATTTCCGAACATATCCTGCATAAATTCAAGAGAATAGCCCCAAGAGGATATACTCGCAACCTACCTTAATCCTTCTCTTAAAATGCCATGTCCAATTATGAAGTGAATCTTGTCCAGATGGCTGCTGCCGCCGTTTAGCCAGAGCTGATAGAACTCCTCGGCATCCTGTTGACCATTGCCAATCATTTTTGCTGGACGCTTGAGGGTTTGCCTGACAAAGCGACGCGGCTTGGAGCCGAGAATCCGCGCCATATCCTGCATAAGTTGTGGGTTACGAAGCGTATGTTGGGTCGGGCTGGGCGCAGCCTCTGGCAGATCGCCCATAAAGCGCAGAATCATCAGCCAAATGGCCTAATGAGAAAAAAATGAGTCTGGGTCTGGAATTCACTTGAGTCAGGTTAAAGTCATTTACCTTGGCAGCCGTCTGATCGATGTGCAGATCATGTTTCAAAAGAGGCTGCTTCAAGGGCTTCCTCTCGTGTTGATATGTAGTCCCGTTACAGAAATATGTCGAGGCAAACTTCAAGAAGCTAAAGTCCGATGTGTCCACATTGGGGGGACTTGTCTTGGGCAGACGGATGGTGCCAGCGGAGCTGATGCTGTTGCTCTTCTTGAGCGTGATCTATAATTGAAAGTAAGTCCAAGATTTAAAAAAATATAAATATGTACGTATTTTAGCATAATTTTAATTTAGAATTATTTTAACCTTAGCACTTTGCTCAGGTTTCTCTTATAAAAATGCACTGAGTTAATTTATAATGGAATTCTGACAGCCTTAATCCATGTAGTATCGCCTAGCAAAACGCGTTGGTATTAAGTTTTTTTTTTCAAGTAGATATGCCGATCCGATAAGAGTCCGTCGATTATTTACGATCGCATTTTTTTTCATTTATCATGCGGGGCATTTGTTTTAAACTTGCAAAGCTTTTCGATAGCGATAGCTGAGGTTCTTGCTAAAATATTTTGAATTCTAAAGTTAGTTGCTGACTATATTCGACGCCGTGCGTTTCTGGAGTCTAAATTGCGGCAGTGGCATGAAATTTACACTTTTGTCAATAAATATTAAGGATTTTTGTTGTTTTGCTGTTGTTTTATTTCAATAGAGTTTTCCTGGTGTATAAAACTTTTAGGCTAATGCCAGAAAATATACCTAAATTAGGACACTCAACCTATACAAGGTTTAAATTCCTATGAGAATGCTAATGAATACATATTATTAAAAAAATAGATAACAAAGAAATAGCTAATCATTTATCTATTCATTTACATACTTGCAACAGTAAGATCCTCACATTTTAATAAGCAAACATATATAATATTTTACACAAACTGGAGGGCTCAAATTTTATGGGGAACGTAGCTAATAACACATTTACAAAAAAGATTTAATAGCAGAAAATATACCCAAATAAGCAAGACCCTCATACAAACAGGCTATATACATAGGCTATGCCCCAAAGATGCCATTGTCTGAAGAAAATTAAAAGGAAATGTCTGTTTAATATACACATAGACTCCTATTCAAATGAGTATATTCACTTGCTTCAGTAATGTCCTCATAATTCATTAAATCTTTTACTGCTCAAAGGTATGAGTCTGAATATAAGGTAACTTGAAATACATTTTAAAAAAGCACTTCCATTTTCACAAATGCACGAAATATATAAATAATTGGCCAATCACTATTTTAAGACAAGTTTTCTATTGTTTCCAATAGTAAACACCTTCACATTGAGTCATAAAAATTGAAACAAAAAAATAAATAAATAAATAATAAATAAAGCTGTTGACTCTATCTTGAGAACAATCACATTTAATAGATTACGTAGCTCTAATCTTTCACCCTACACTGTTTATGTAAATATTGTCATTGGTAGTCCAAAGTGTGGCGGGTCGAATATCAAGCAATTGAATGTCTTATCA